TGTAACCATATTCTAGAGGTAGAGGTGCCTGGTGGTAGGAGGAGTACAGTCATCACTGTTTGGAGATGATGAGCCTATAGCATAAATGAGTGGTGACATCCCAGTTACCCTTGAGAGAGTTCACTGTAGTCATACAGTAGTCTTTTATTACGAAATCATGCTCAACCTCAAGATGCCTTAGCTGTTCCACATCCTACCTATGCTACCCATCCCTAATTAACCCGCTGCTTGGATCCCTTACTCAGCATCACTACTGGATCAATTACTTCCTTCCACCAAGTTCCATTTGGCACCAGTGTGTCAATAGTTAAGATATTTCCTTGTCCATCTGAGATGGGTCTTTCATCTAAACTTTTATTAGCTTCTCTGTTTATGTTCCCTTTGTCTTAGAAGTTATCTGCTTATCAAACTCCATCAATCTTTGTCCCACTCCCAAATATCATCAGATTGGAATAGAAGTGGTCACTGATTTAGGTCTGTTGTCTGTCTTCACAGCCTAAGTGGCCAGGCCACATAGAATCCAGGCGTGAAGATTGGCATTGGGTTTAAAGAGTCTATATCCGGAGCCTCAGATAAGAATGGCTTTAGATACCTCACAGTGTGGCCTACTTAAATAGCTCTGCTGCAAATGGGCCATCTCTTTGTTATCCTCCAGATTCCTGGACTGGTGAGAGAGTCCTCAGCTTCACTGGAGAGCAAGCTCTGGTACAGATATTTACATTATTTTTGCAGCCCCTTGGCTAGTCAGACTGTATGACTAAAGTTGAAGTTTGGTTTAGAGCCTATGAACAATGCTGTTGGTGATTCTGTGTTATTTAGTTTTCGTTTCTTTGACCCATTTGGGTCAACTGATCAGGTGTAGCCTCGTCTAGAGATGCTGAGAAACTGTGATGTGTTAAGTTCATCTCTGTCCACCCTGCTTCCATGACATAACTCTCTGAACCTCTGAGAACTCCTAAAATATCTTCTCTACCGTGCAATAACCAACCCTGCCTCTCTTGAGGGAGCAGAAGCTGAGAGGTACAAATCCTCACCCACCAGCTTCATCTCTGTGAGCCCTGGAGTCTCCCACCTGGACTGCATCCTGGGTCAGTTCCTTTTACTTCCTGTGGACATCAGAGATGCATCTCATAGGAATAGCTTTAGACGGGCTGTCTGAAGAGATGCTGGTGGTAAGAACATGAAGTTGAGGATCAGATGGAATTATATGGACCACATACTACTATGTACTGATGTAAAGATGCCTCCCACTTCCTACCATTTTTAATTCTGACACTGCTCCTTGGAGGGATGCATCCTTGTATTATCTCCCTCAGTAAATCTTGGAGACAACCTTATGAATCAAGCGCTCTTTACAGTGCCTGTAACACTCTGAATGGTTACTTCTCAAATGAAACATTGGTGAGAGCCGTCTGAGACTATTTAATTAATTTGTGTCTGACATCAGAGTACGAATCTCAGCCAACAGGTCCGTAGGTGTTGTGGAAGTGAGCAGAGATCATTTTGGACAGGGATCCTTTGACTTTCGTCAGACATACCCCATGGATATTTACTGCCTCTAAGGAACCAGTACTCTGCTATCAACTATAAAATATTTCCAATCATATTTTGAATAGATGGGAGAATAAATACTGTGGGTTTTTTTCTTTCTGAAACAATATCCTCCCCAAGCTACTGCCTGAGGGATTTTCAAGTGTTTTCCCCATTGTCCATCCTTTTCTCGTGCTCCTGCAGGGCATCAGAGGCTTCCTCAAACATGGGACACCAGAGCTCATCTTCCCGTGCTGATACAGGGCTGGAGAGGCAACATCTCGCCATCCATCAATTCTGACGACATTCAAACCTTTTCAATATGTGGGCTCCCTGATAACTTCCATTGTATGGAAAACAAAATGGAGGGAAATGATTATTGGCACAAAAGGGGGAGGCTGTAAATCTTCAAATCAGATACAGGGCAGATTGGAACAATATGGCTTCTTCAAGGTTGCCATGATAATGTCCCTAATAACTCTCCCTGGGCAAAAAGGCAGTCTGCTTTCAATCAATCCCCTTCCCCCTGCCAACCCTCCCCCCTTTTTTTCTGAGCAAAAATACCAATTACGTTGAAGGAAGATTTTTTTTCTTCCTTTTTTGATAAGGACTGTTCTCCACCCCAGAAATCATGCTGTAGCTAAAAGATATATATTTTCAATTGTCTACCGTGATATTGGACAGCAGCACCAAATGAAAAAAAAAGTCGATCTTTTTACCCCATCCTCTCTCCTGCCAGCATTTGTCTACTTCTTCAGAGAAGTGAAAGCTAATTAAAGGCTTAAGGGATAATATTGATTGCATTGGAATATATTTTATATGTACCCGCCACACTTTCAAATCATAGAACCCTGACTCTTTCTAAGGCTGAATAAATCAGCTGGCTGAACCTTTGATTCGAGGGTGATGTGTTGTGGGTGGGAGAGCACTCATCCCCCCCTTCCACTTCGCACCTGTCTCTCTTAGGATGAGTGATTTCAGAGCAGCAATGGTGGGGGGGGGCTGTCAGATGTTCACTCCATTCTTTGTGTACAGAACAGGAAGGCTGAATGTTCGGCTGTCTCAAGCCACCATTCATTTGAATCTGGCTGTGAATCATAACAAGGGATATGCCAGTGTAGAACTCTGAAATTTGCAATGTCTGATGCAGAGGCTGACTGGGTGGGACTTACTTCTCAGCTTGTGTGGACTGGAATGAGTAGCTTCTCTGAGATGTCCTCTCCTTGGCATCAAAACAGGCTACTGGGGTTCTTTTTGCATTTTATTTATTTATTTTATATACAGTGTTCTGTCTGCATGTACACCTGCAGGCCAGAAGAAGGTGCCAGATATCATTACAGATGGTTGTGAGCCACCATGTGGCTACTGGGAATTGAACTCAGGACATCTGGAAGAGCAGCCAGTGCTCCAACTGCTGAGCCATCTCTGCAGCCCCTGTTTCTGGGGTTCTTGCTTACCTGGCTTGCTCTTTCATCCAAGAATAACTTCAACTATAGAGATACCTACTAGTTAGATTTTTGTTGGTGCTTTCTTTATCCTAGTGTCTTCGTGCAGGATGTTAGAGTGCACAGAACACACCAGGTAACATCCCTGTCATTTGTGTGCAGTTCAGGTCAGGAGGGAATTCCTCTTCCTTGGTAACTTTCTGGACATGCTTGCCATTTCAGAATCATAAATCTCATTCAGAATACGCATACTTACTTATGCTTTGTCCATAAATATGCCTATATCACAAGAAACATTTTAAAATAAGAAAAGAAATGTAAAATTCCAAACAGTCTGCTAATTTCGTGAATTCAGATACACAATGTGTTTTACAGCCTTATAGTCAGAAGGGGTCAGTGGTACAGGGCTTTGGGCATAAAATTTGGGTGAGTAGCTCAGTGACCGCCACAACCTAGTAGATGCTGTTGACAGGGCCATATGATCATGTTACAATGTCTTTTTTGATGTACCTCCCCTGTCACTTTTCTTTTGCCTTCATGACCATGGCTTGCCTGATCAGGCTAAGTGCCCCACCGTAACAATAACAGTCCATAATGGAAACATTCTTAACTGCATCATGCATATTATTGATTTACTCCTTGTTCTGCACCATTATCATTTCCCCAGTGAGTTTACTGCATTATTCTCACATACTTAGTCGAGCACCAAATTGCCACAAAAGGGCAGACTCTTGTAATGACGTCTAATGGGACATTGCATAAACCATCATCACTGCCTCCTATTATAAGTTGCCTCTAGCCAATGAGCTTTCTGGCATATTACAATGTGAACAGAGCAATTATAAAGGGTAAAGGACTCGGGCATTCTGAAGTTTTCTGGGGAAATTGCTTTATTGCATGTTCGCCACCTGGCCCAGTCTTAAACCGCATTAGAGATCCACCCTCTGCTGTTGTCGGCCTGAAGGGTAGAGTGGTGTGAGTTGAGTTGCTTACTGCAGTGTGTTTGCTAGAAGCTGGTGCTTGTAGCTTCACAGCCGAGCCACTTTTGGTCTTGGGGCCAATTCTCAGGTCATGGTCTTGTGACTGAGCCCTGTGAAGCCCGTGTAAGTGAGCCCAGGATAGTCTGACATTAAGGTTGCCTCGCTTTAAGAAGGAAAGTTGTTGGAGAGGCCGCAGGTCTTAATGTCCTGGAAAAGGGGTCTCATTTCCTGGGAATGAGCTGCTGCTTCTAGAAACAGAGGTCAGAACTGCCCTAGAACAAAGCCAGCATTTCCACATTCATGTCTCCCTGGCTTCTGCCCAGTGCAGGGGTCTCCAGGTGAATTAGTTTGGCTCTGGGGAAGTCTTCAGCACCCTGAGGTGGCCGCCATCTGGAGACGTAGCCACAGCAGGCAGCTTGATCGCCCATTCCATGGGCGTCTCATTTCCATTTAGCCCTGAGTAATGCTCACTTACTGTAAAGTGTTACATGCCTCCATTGTTGGAGAAGTTATGGTAGAAAAATGCAAAATTTCCTTTTTACTGCTTATGGCCAGCCGAGCCTATAACGTGTCAAGTCACACATTAGCCACCCTGATAAAAGTCCGCTTTCTTACACACAAAATCATCGTTTCAGCAAGATTTGTTATCTCATTACCTGATAAGCTGTTTGTCATAAACCAAGACTGCTGCGGTAAATCTCCCAGGAGGACGCTTTGTGGGCAGAAAGGGAGAGATAGGAATCTGCAAGGGACTTGATAATGTAGCATTTAAGCAGAAGCAGAATGTCACTTATTGTTAAATGCATAAAACCACTTGGCCTAGTCGCTGGGCTTTTAATAGGATTTTGTGCAGGCCCAGGTGAGCAGCCATATGCTTTTTCTGTCCAGGAGCCTCTGAGCAACTGCTAGCACCATCGCTTTGCCTCACGACCCTCTGGTACGGGCACTGGGTTTACAGGGGCTGAGGGTGGATATATCCTCTTGCAGCTGCCTCACCCTGCCTGCCTCGTCAGGGATCAGGAACTAACTGATCTCTCCTATGCAGGCACATTGTAGTCTGTGGCCACATCACTCTGGAGAGTGTCTCTAACTTCCTGAAGGACTTTCTGCACAAGGACCGGGATGATGTCAACGTGGAGATTGTCTTTCTTCACAAGTAAGAACCCCCTGCTGTCACTAGAGCCTCTGCCCAGCCACGTGCTTCTCTCTGAGGACCCACAGGTGTGGTAGAGATGGAGGTGGTTGAGAATTGAGATGAGGTTGAATAAGCCATGACCCCTGCTGGCTCCTTAGGTAAGAATGTGGACTTTGATTTAGAACCCTTGGAGGGGAAGCAACACCCTAGGCCAGGGTTGAAAGCTGACTCCAGTGAGGTAATCTGGGGCCATATCTGAGTTTCTTTCTGAAAGACTGAACAGGGAAGTTCACTAGGATCCAAGTCACCATTCTCGTCCCTTCATCAACGTGGCCCTGTGCAGTCAGGGGCATCTGCAGTGCGGGAGTGGGCTAACTGATATGATTGTGTGGATACTTTACCGCTGCAGCAGAGGGACCAAGCAAGACAAGACAAGAAGCAGGGTGACAGAGCTACTTTTCAGTGGGACAAAACGCCTGCAAAATAACTCAAAGAAATCAAGGTTTCCACAGGAAGCGTGGCAGTGAGAGTGTGAGGCCACATTTCATCCGCATGCAGATGAGCGATGAATGCGGGTGCTGGTCTGTTTTCTCCTTTTGTGTTTAGTATGGACCCCAGCCTAAAAGATGGTGCTGCATGTTCAAAATGAATCTTTCCACCTCACTTAACCCAATCTAGATGATCCTCCACATAAACGTTCTGAGGTTGGTCTCCTAGGTGACTCCACATCGCGTCCAGTTGATAGCTATTAACTATATCACACTGTGTATTAGGCATATTAACACTGTTGTTTCACCTGATACCAGAGGCTGTGCAAATGGATTTTCATTTAATCCATAGATATAGTGCCAAGTACATCTTTAATCTGAATCCTTACTTAACCAGTGACTGGCTGAGCATGTTACTTCCCCGTGCCTCAGCTTCCATGTCTATGGACAAGCGAAGAGATACTCTTGTCTCCTTGGACTGTTGTAAGAATAAATTAATCAATCCATGTGAAGTGTGGAGAGAGCAGTTAGGCGTGCAGGAAGTATTCAATAAACGTCAGCTATTATTGGGAAAGGAAACCTGATTGGGTTATACAGTTGACTTAAGGATATACATATCCTATATAGAGAAAGACTCTTGGTAAGTCACTCAATTCTGGAGGCTGAAAAGTCTCATGCTCTACCTTCTCCAAATTAAAAACCCTACTAGTGTTATGACTCAGTTTACAGCTCGAAGGCCTGAAACAAAGGGAGTCAATGATGTGAAACCCTGGTCCACAGAGAAGAGTGGAAGAGATAAGATGTCATAGTGCATATAGACATGCAGGGAGCAAGGGGCAGCTATGGTCTTCCTCTGCCCTTTCCTTTTAGGTCTTTGCTTGGTTGACTGGTATCCACTCATGTGGAGGAAGGTCCACTTTCCTAAATTCACAGATTCAAAGGTGAATCTTGTAGGAAAGAACCCTCATAAACATACCTGGAAATCACCTTAATCTGGGCCTTCCAAGTAGCTGTGGTGTTTCTAGTGGTAACAAAGAGGAAGACACTTTGCCATATAACAAAGAGGAAGACACTTTGCCATATATCAAAGAGGAAGACACTTTGCCATATATCAAAGAGGAAGACACTTTGCCATATATCAAAGAGGAAGACACTTTGCTATATAACAAAGAGGAAGACACTTTGC